CACAATATTTGTCCTTTTATGTCTGGAATGTTTAGCATAATGCTTTCAGGGTAGACTACATTGGAACTTCACTCCTTTTTTTTTTTGGGAGATGGGGTCTCCCTCTGTCGCCCAGACAGGAGTGCAGTGGTGTGATCTCGGCTCACTGCAACCTCCGCCTCCGGGGTTCAAGCAATTCTCCTGCCTCAGCCTCCCAGTAGCTAGGACTACAGGCTCAGGCCGTCACACCCGGCTACTGTTTTTTTGTATTTTTAGTAGAGATGGGTTTTCACCATGTTGCCCAGGCTGGTTTCAAACTTCTGAGCTCAGGCAATCTGCCCACCTTGGTCTCCCAAAGTGCTAGGATTACAGGCATGAGCCACCGCACCCAGCCCTTTACAAGTAATTATAATAAATAGGGCTCATATAATGTTCTAAAAGGAATACTCCTAAGATTAAAATTGACAAATAAATTAGCCAGGCACAGTGGTATGCACCTGTAGTACCAGCTATTCAGGATGCTGAGGTAGGAGAATCACTTGAACCCGCAAGGTGGAGGTTGCAGTGAGCCCAGATCGTGCCCTGCTGTACTCCAACCTGGGCAACAGAGTGAGACTCTGTCTAAAAAATAGTAAGATTTAAAACATAAAATTAATAAAGTTATTTTGGCTGTGTTGTCTTTTTGCTTATCCTTGGTTCTTGCCTAAATTCTAGGTAGGAGAGGGTAGCCAAGTGATTGTACTTGGAAAGGAGAAGGAGAGGTTGTTCTGCTAAGCCTGTGCTAGAAGAACACTTCCCTTACCTTCCTCCCCTTTTCTCCTTGTAAACATTTTTATGACTCTTAGCCTGAGAGCCTCTGTGTATTGAGAGTGCTTGCTATTGTTCTTGTAAGTTCTTAGCCTATACAAGTTTAGCCTTCGAAGACCCACTACTGACCTTCATTTTAAAATATCAACTTCATTTTAGATGCCACAGTGGAGCTATCCTTGGACAACACACAAAATAATCAGAAGAAGGTGCCAGCCAAAACACTCATTTCTCTTCCTCCGCAGGAAGCCCCAAATTCTTCGAAGCACCAGCCAACCTATGAGGAGGTGAGAATCTGCACTGTTAGTCTCACCACTTTTAGGTATTTAGGACTGTGTACTGCCAGTCTGAAGTGTGGTTGAGTATAAACCCTGAGAACATAGTTATGACTCTTGAAGGAGATCTTTATGCTTAATGGACAGCCAGAATCCAATACAGGAGTCTTTCTTGGGCAGGGTATCTATTGCCCAGAGCACAAAGGCTTTCAATGGTTACTCAAGATACTTGGTGTGTGAAGCTTCCATATTCAGGAGTATAGTTTCTCCTCACTCCCTTCCTAGCCTGCAAGAGGCAAGTCTTTCTAAATCTGGCAGTTATTCATTGTCATCAAAATAAGATTTTAAGAGGATAGATGTAACAAAGACTTGTAAGCTGGCTCCTAATTTAAAATTTTGAGAGTTGGTTCATTGGGATTGTTGGGAATGGACAAAGGCTGAACACTGAAGGATACATCTTGATTTTATTAGATTGATATAAGGTTATTAACAGGGTAAAATTAATAGCTTTTTTTCATATCAACTCTCATGATTTGTCTTTTCTTGAAAAAGCTAGAGGAAGAAGAACAGGAGGATCAATTTGATTTGACAGTCGGTATAACTGATCCCGAGAAGATAGGTAAGTGGTTCTTAGGACTCCTTGTGATGTTAGGATGTCGCTGTGGAAAGCATAGGTAGCTAGTTTCAGGATGGCTAACCTCAGAGTTGAACTAGCCAATGTGAAGTACTTCATTAGTATCTTTTCTGTAAAAGTAGACCCCTTGCTATGTTTCTAAGGCCAGAGACTGCAGTTACTCAATGCATTAGTCAGTCTTTTCTTGGCTTTAGGAAGAAAAATCAGAATCATCAAATACTACTAGAATCCCTTTTTATTTTTATTCTTTTTGTTTTTTGTTTTTTAGAGACAGGGTCTCATTTTGTCACCCAGAATGGAGCGCAGTAGCACTATCATAGCTCACTATCACCTCCAGCTCCTGGATTCAAGCAATCCTCTTACCTCAGCCACCCAAGTAGCTGGGACTACAGGCATGTGCTACCATGCCGACTAATTTTTTTTTTTTAAGAGATGGGGTCTTGCTATGTTGCCCAGGCTGGTCTCAAACTCCTGGCCTCAAGTGATCCTCCTACCTTAGCCTCTTAAAGCACTAAGATTACAGGCATGTGCCACTGCACCCAGCTAGATTCTCTTTTTAAAAACCCAAACAGGCTGGCCGTAGTGGCTCACACCTGTAATGCCAGCACTTTGGGAGGCCAAGGCAGGCAGATCACTTGAGGTCAGGAGTTCGAGAACAGCCAGGCTAACATGGTGAAACCCCGGCTATACTAAAAATGCAAAAATTAGCCAGTCGTGGTGGTGTGCACCTATAATTGCACCTACTCAGGAGGCTGAGGCCAGAGAATTGCTTGAACCCAGGAGGTGGAGGCTGCAGTGAGCTGAGATCATGCCACTGCACTCCAGCCTGGGCGACAGAGCAAGACTGTGTCTCAAAAAAAAACAAAAAATAACAAAAAAAACCCAAACATTATCTTCTCCTTCAGAGTTGATAAGACCCTTTTTTTTAAGATAGTAAATTCCATGTGAGCACCCTAAAAAATACATGTTCTCAAATTGAGAGACATTGAACTTATTTTTCCCTCAAGAAGTTTGAAACTCTCATTTATACACATACTTTTGATAACCTTATGAGGTGGGGAAGTCCGTCTGTGGGGTCCAGGTTAAATTGTACTCAAATTGAAGTTAGATCTTCAAAAAGCATAACACTTAACTTTGTCTGAACTTGGATTTTTATGATGGCTTTCCCCTCTCCCAAGCTTGCAAGAGTTATCCCTGAGTGGAGAACAATAGGCCTCGTCTTTCCTTGTTCTAGCTGTAGTCCCTTACAGAAGAGGCTATACAGAGCCTGTCTTCCTAAACAGGAGTGTTTATACAGTTAAGAGGACAAATGTAATTCTCAACCCTCGGTCTATTTGAAACTAGGGACAGGAACTTGTTAGACTTTATGCCAAAATGGTTGTCTTTTTTTTTTTTTTTTGAAACAGGGTCTCACTCTGTCACCCAGCCTGGAGTGCAGTGGTACAATCACAGCTCACTGCAGCCTCCACCTCCCCAAGCTCAGATGATCCTTCCACCTCAGCCTCCTGAGTAGCTAGGACTACGGGTATGCATCACCATGCCTAGCTAATTTTTTTGTATTTTTTGTAGAGACAGGGTTTCACTATGTTGCCTACCCTGGTCTCCGGCCAAAATGGTTGTCATTAAACTGTTGATTTTAGGCCAGGTGCAGTGGCTCACATATGTAATCCCAGCACTTTGGAAGGCCAAGGCAGGAGGATCACTTGAACCTAGGAGTTCAGGACCAGCCTGCCCAACATGGCAAGACCACGACTCTACAAAAAGTAAAAAATTTGCCCTGTCTCTACAAAAATATAAAAAATTATAGAGGCATGGCGGTACATGCCTGTAGTCCAGGTACTTGGGAGGCTGAGGCGGGAGGATCACTTGAGCCTGGAAGGTCAAGGCTGCAGTGAGACAAGATAACGCTACTACACTCTAGCTTGGGTGACAGAGTGAGATCCTGTCTCAAAAAAAAAAATTTTTTTTATTTGAACTGCTGAGATTTGCTTTTCCCAGACTGTTGCACTGGTAGGATGTTTTTGAGGTTCTTATACAGTTCTGTCATTTAACAGAAAAGGAAATTGAGGACCAAAAAGGAAGTAGCTTTCCTGTTAGGGCACAGTGTGGCCCATGGTAGAGCCTGGGCCAGGATTTTGGATTATATGTCTAGATTCTCTCTTGCTTCTCTAATATTTATGGATATTCTATAAACACATTAATTTTAAGCTAGTTATTCACTGCTTTAAATCCTTGGTGGAATAAGATGAATGAATGGCACTAATTCTCTTAAAATGTAATAAGTCATGATGTCTGAACCAGGAGAGGGAACATACTGGTCTCCTAAGGCTGCTGTAGCAAAGTACCACAAACTGGTTAAAACAACAGACATTTCTCGCAGTTTTGGAGGCCACAAATCTCAAATCCTGGTGTCAGCAGGCCATTCTCCCTGTGAAGACGCTAGGGAAGGACTGTTCATGCCTCTCTCCCAGCTTCTGGCAGCCTCAGACCTTCCTCGGCTTGTCGATGCATCACTTCAGTCTCTGCCTTTGCTGTCATGTGGCATTCTTCCTAAGAGTCTCCACATTGCCTTCCCTCTATGCATTTCTATCTCTGTGCACACATTCCTTCTTTAACAAATAAGGACACCAACCTGAGTGGAGTAGGGCCCACCCTAATGTCTTCATTTTAACTTGATTGCATCTATAAAGATGCTGTTACTAAATAAGATCACATTCTGAGGAACTGGGAGTTAGAACTTAAAATGCACCTATTTTGAAGGGGGCACAATTTATCCCATTACAGAGAGGAAATTAAACAGTCCATGGATCAGATGTATTTAAACACAAATCACTCTTGGTGATAAGTTTTCATCTCCTTGCACTGTAGTCTAGATTCTTAGTCATGTTGATGCCAAGAAACCAGCTAATTAAAATATTTTCATATTCAAGGCCTGATCTTTGTAACAACACATTCTGTTTGTGTGGGCTGTTGATTCAACATGTGCTTCTTGTTCCTGCACACATCTAAATAATCTAGAATTTAACTTTTACCAGGATATGCTTTTTAGAGCCTTGGTAATTTGCATGTGTTATCTTCAACTCTGAAATTATTCTGGAAATTTACGTAAATTTAAAACCTTGTATTACTAGTTCATTTGCAGATCTGTGTGCTCTCTACGTACATGCAGTATGTCTCTTTTCATGTTCATTGCCTAAGTAAAAGCAGCTGAGAAACAAAATATCTGAAGATCCTGCTTTTCTTTTTTCTCTGTGTTTGCATTTAGACTTTCTTAATTGCAGGCAGTAAATTATGGGATTGACTTCTTGGACATTTGACCATAACTATTCTGCTGTGAATGAAATTTTGATATTACTTCTATAAAGTAAACTTAAATTTCTTTTTTTTTTTTCTTTTATCAGTAGTAAACATCCTTAGTAGTATTGGGTAATGTTAGTAAGGTGGTTTAGAAGAGAACTAAAGTTGGTAATCAGTATAAAGTAATTTTTAAAGTTTAGCTTATGGGTTCTGTTTTATATACACCCTTTTGGTAGGGGCTGGGGAAGTACAGCAGACAAGCCCTCTGTTCCTGTGTAATCTTCAAATTCTTGGTACATTTTGCAAAAAGCAGGCATTTCCAGCCATCTTACTGAAACCAAGTTGTAATGTGTGACCCTGCTGATCCAGTAGTGCCTACTTTTCCTTCCCTTGGCCCCTCACCTGTCCCCCCAGAACCAGTTCAGGGGCCTAAGCAGCTGGTAACTGTTGACCTAGGTTTTCCTGTTTGATGTGGGAAGGAATCAAGGGTGGGAGAGGCAGGGGACAAAACCAACCCCAAACACCGTAGTCCAGCACTGGAGCTGTGTCTGTTTGGATTCTAGAATATGTCTTTTCAGTGCTCAGGGTATCAATGGCATCTTTATCTCCTTAAGTGGTCTAGGTCAGGACATCACCACAGAGAAAAACAATAGCTTGAATCCCAAATTATTTAACAGTCAAAGGCTTTTTCATAAAAATAATTGCTCCAGGAAAGGGAGATTTGTGTGACATTAGGCAGCCAAAGTGTCTTCCTGCCAGACCCTTTGCTCTTGGTGAACATGCTAGATCAGAGAGGTCAGTGTCCCCCCCAGCACCAGTGGAGGGGGTTGCGACGATATTTCTGAAAGAGCAAATCAAGCCCAGAGCTACCCTAGGGTAGAACTACTTGTTTCCTTTTACATCAGTTGCTTCCTTCTCCTCCTGCTTTATACAGCAAGAGAATTGTTTGGTTTCGGACAGATGTGTGTAACCAGACCAAATATTGGCATGGTAACAACTGATGGATTGTCAGTATCCAGTGCTGCTTTGTGGAGGGTATAAATGGAGCCTGGCTTTGAAACAGAGGGCTGACTCTCTTGTGTAACTCAAACTGGGACCCAGCCAGCATCCATGGGGGCTTGCTATGTGCCACAGAGGCCCTGAGGCAAAGTAGGAACTGGATTCTAAGATTGCATATAAAGCTTGGAGATGAAACAAGTGTCCCTTCTTATCCAGGGTTCCTATGGCTTATGATTCCTGGTTAAATGTTAGTTGGATTGGCACTGCTTTGGTTTATAAGATAATCTTCTCCTGCTTTCTTGTTTTCCCACAGGGGATGGTATGAATGCATATGTAGCCTACAAAGTTACAACACAGGTGAGTCCAGGTGACCCTGCTGAAGACCATCTTCATAGACTTTGGTGCTTATACCAAGGTCATCATTCAGATTATTTCTGGGTATCTCCTTTGTTTCTTTGCCAACATCTTCATGTTTACCCAAGATGGAGCAAACCTGCATCCCCTTGGTAATCTCATCTGGGTACTCCAGACTGAGTCTTTTTAATACTCTTCTAGAAAGCTAAAATTTCAGTGTGATTCTGTGAAGTCGTGTGGTATATCTGATACAGCTCTGTCCCTTTTAGAGAACCATGTGGTGTGGAGCTAGATTCACAGATTGCCTTAAACTATCTTTTAAAATCTTCAATGCTTTTGAGGTTTCAGAGAGCTTCTTGTAATACTTAACCTTTTGCCCCTCTGGTCGGGTCTTCTTTCGTATATAATATTAATGCATAGAAAATGTACACAATGTGGTATACAAGTTATGAAGCATAATGAATGAAGCTCTAAACTTACCACTAGTCTTGAGTACCACTGAATCCACTTACGTGTTTTTCCATCATATCCCCTGCCTCACACCTTAGAGGCACCCTTTCTCCTGAGTTGTCTCTCATTTCTTTTATAAGAAATCTTTACATATATATATATATATATGTATATTAGACTGTTTTGCTTTGTTTTGAGTTTCATAAAAATAATATCATGCTGATAATTGTGCTTGCTTTATTTAGCATTGTTTCTTTCACCCATCCTTGATGGTCATAGCTGTAGTTAGTTCATATACCACAAAATATTTGTGTTTTCCTGTTGTGAACATTTTCTCCTGTCAACATGTTTCTGGTTTTTGTAACTGGGAACTTTCTTGCATGTCTCTAGGGCACATGTGGAAGGGTTTCTCTAGAGTATGTAACCAGGAGTAATTCCCGTGGGTCATAGGTACTGCAAATATTGGACACAAGGAATACAAACTGTTTTTTAAAGTCTTTGTACCAATTTATACCCCATCAGCAGTGTATAAAAGTTCCCATTGATTCACTTCCTTGCCAGCAATTGGTGAGGCCAACCTCCTTAAATTTTGCCTATCTGGTGAGTATAAAGTGAACTCTCATCGTGATGTAGGCCTAACCTTTTTTGGTAGAAATCTGCTTTATATTGTATCTCTACTACTTGTTGGCCTGTGTCCTGTGAACTCTACATTATGATACTTTAGAGGTTACTGTCTACAGCTTAGACATTTCATCCAATTCCCACCCTGCTCCTCACCTGCTTCCCCTTCTTAGAAGCACTTTTTGTCTGTCTTTAGTTTGGCTGCTATAATTCCAGCAGCTTATACCCTTAAATAAGTCAATGAGGCCTGGTGCAGTGGCTCACACCTGTAATCCCAGCACTTTGGGAGGCTGAGGCAGGTGGATCAACTGAGGTCAGGAGTTCAAGACCAGCCTGGCCAACATGGTGAAACCCCATCTCTACTAGAAAACTAGAAAAATTAGCCAGGCGTGGTGTCAGGAGCCTGTAATCCCAGCCACTTGGGTTGCTGAGACAAGAGAATTGCTTGAACCCGGGAGGCGGAGGTTGCAGTGAGCCGAGATTGTGCCACTGCACTCCAGCCGGGCATGGTAACATGTGCCTGTATTCCTAGCTACGTGGGAGGCTGAGGCAGGAGGATCGCTTAAGCCCGGGAGTTTGAGGCTGCAGTGAGCTGTGATCGCACCATTGCATTCCAGCCTGGGCAACAAAGTGAGATCCTGTATCAAAAAAAAAAAAAAAGCCAATAAAAGATGAATGGGTTACTGTAGAATTCTAGCTTTAAACTAGAACTGAACATTTCTTTCTTTAGAACAAGAGTTCTTAACCTGGGAATGAAACTATATTTGAATTTTTATTTCCTCAGAGGTCACCATGGCTTCAGATGTATTTGAATTTAATTGATTGCCTTTATAATCCTATATATTTTTTGCATTTAAAATCATTATTGTGAGAAGAGCGCCTTAGGCTCCCAGACTGCCAAAGGGGGAACTATGGTTTTAAAAAGTTTAAAGACTCTCTGCCTTGGAGAAAGTTATTTACCAGGTGACTGAAGGGCAGGGATCTGGGAAATGGGTTTCTTTAATGTCAATTGGATGGCTTTCAAGATACCTTCTCCTGTTTGGAATGAAATTGCCTTGTGTTTTTCCCCATCCCCAAGACGAGCTTACCATTGTTCAGAAGCAAACAGTTTGCAGTAAAAAGAAGATTTAGTGACTTTCTGGGTCTTTATGAGAAGCTTTCCGAGAAGCACTCTCAGAATGGCTTCATTGTCCCGCCTCCACCGGAGAAGAGCCTCATAGGTAAGTAAGCCTGTGGTCTTCCATTCCTCTTGGATTGTTTTCCTTTGCATTCTCTGCAAAATTCACTTACTGTTTAGTATATGAGACTACTTCTATTAACAGTCTTGTGGTGAGAAAAGAGACATTTCCAGTGTTTTCCGACCCTGGAGGTCTAGAGAAAAATAGAGTATTTTGGCATGTTCTCTTCTTGGGTGCAGTAGGAGCTCTGGGTTTAGCCTCCAGAGTTGTTATGTTCTTTTGTTTTCTGTTGGTCTTCAGGAGTCTTAAATGATTGCGGTTCCCTCCAAATTGAAATAGACTACACTGGATTAGGGGTCAGAGGAAGGAACCTCTTCATTTTTTTGTTTTTTTTTTGTTTTTTGATGTTTGTTTTTGAGGTGAAGTCTTGCTCTGTCACCAGGCTGGAGTGCAGTGGCGTGATCCCAGCTCACTGCAAGCTCTGCCTCCCAGGTTCAAGTGATTCTCCTGCCTCAGCCTCCCGCATAGCTGGGACTACAGGCGCCCACCACCATGCCCAGCTAAGTTTTGTATTTTTAGTAGAGATGGGGTTTCACCATGTTGGCCAGGCTGGTCTTGATCTCTCGACCTCATGATCCGCCTGCCTTGGCCTCCCAAAGTGCTGGGATTACAGGTGTGCACCACTGCGCCCGGCCAGGAGCCTCTTCATTAACATCAGTTGATGTTTGTACTCAGGGTTCCATGGCCGCCTTTTTAAGAAAATGTATTATCTGCAAGTCCTAGAGTTTAGAACCTTCAGCACGTAGAGACAAGTTTTCAAAAATGGCTCTCAAGTAAAGAACCTTTTGTTCATCCCTGCACATGACATAGAAGTGGCTTAGGTTGTATGCGTTACCTTTCCTCCTGCTGACACTTTAAAAAAAAGAAATCCACTTCATGATGATTTATGGTTATTTTGCTTTTTAAATTCCATTCTAGGGATGACAAAAGTGAAAGTTGGGAAGGAAGATTCTTCTTCTGCAGAATTTCTTGAAAAACGGAGGGCTGCTTTAGAAAGGTAAGTTCCATACAGCCATTTTCCTGAATAATGTGAGGACAAATGAGAAGCTGAAAAGTGAGTCTAAATGATGAGACAGTCCATTGAGTTAGAGATGAAATGTGAATGAATTGAAGTTCCTCACCTCCATATTATCTCTCAACTTTTCCTGAGTTGCCTATTTTCCCACCTTGGGAATAGGCCATCTTCTGTTTTTTTCCCATCCCGGGTGAGCAGGCAGTCATATTCTTAGACAATCAAATATGAATGGCTCTGAGGTTTCTTTCTGACCAGTTATTTTTCTCTCCCTTTTTGGAAATGTCAGGAATGTGAACTTGAATATGCTTACAAGGAGAGTCCTACTTAAGTACCTTATCTCAGGGTACTTTAAGTAACAGAAGACGTGGTATCACTGCCAGCGCCGTGTGACGCCCAGAGCCTTCTGAGGCCAGCTCAACTAACCAGATGGTAACTGCTTACCTTGTAGGTACCTTCAGAGGATTGTGAATCATCCTACCATGTTACAGGACCCTGACGTCAGAGAGTTCTTGGAGAAAGAAGAGGTTAGTATTCAGTGCAAACTGAATTTCGTAATTTATGTCTGCTCCTAGTGAAATGAAACTAGTTCATTCCAAAAATATATGAGCACTTAACATGACTAGTACCAGACTGTATCCTAGCTTTGGGTGAACCCCTGAGAGTGACAAGTATTTTTCAGCCTTTGAAATAAAAGAAGCTCTGCCTGAAGTCAAAAGTAGTTGGTCGTAGGGGTCAAATGGCAGCCTAGTATTGTCTTACTGGATCAACACAGTGATCTATTTGGCAGGTCCTTGGCATGTTGTAGGTTACTTCTTGGCTCAGATTGAATGCATATTTTATGCCAGGCGGGGCATTGGTTAAAAACCAGTTACCACAAACCACAGAACTGCTATGTAGGAAAAGTGTTGATTGAAGTAGACAGTCTTTTTTATAGGCCATATGTAGGCTAGTCATGATTGTCAAAAATTGAAAACAGGTCAATTGCTAACAGTGGAAGAATTAAGTAAAATATATCAATATAACCAAATATTTGATTCTCATCATAAACAAAGTATACAGAAATGTTAGTAGATGGACGTGTATGTTAAAAGAATTATAAAATGTGAAACATGAAATAGCATGTAAATACAGCTGTAGAAACATGTGAGTCATTAAGGATCAAAAGAAACACTTGAGTGAAATGTTTTATCTCACAGGAAAGCAAACTAGAAGGAAGGAAGTGACTGCATAGGGCTATCATTTTGCTTTAATTTTTATTTTTAAATTTTTCTTTCATTTGTATATAGTATGTGTTATTCCAGTGAAGAAAATGATAATAAATAAGGAGTTTTTTTCTCTGAAATGAAATGTTTTAATTAAAAATTCCCTGTCAAATGCTTCAGATCTTTTAGTCTTCTCTTGTGAATATTCTTAAATCCCTTCTTCCTTTTCACCCTCTCATCTTTACTCCATACCCCTAAGCAGGGTATGTCTGTAGCAGCACTGTGGACCCTTTGGGTAAGATAGTTCTTTGTCATAGGGATTTGTCCTGTGCATTGCAGGGGGTTTTAGCGGCATTCCTGGTACCTACCCAGTAGATCCAGGTAGCACCCCCTTCCCAGTCATAACAACCACAATCATTTCCAGAGATTGCCAAATGTCCCCTAGGAAGCAAAGTGGCCCCAAGTTCAGAACTACTGCCAGGCCGAGCACAGTGGCTCACGCCTGTAATCCCAGCACTTTGGGAGGCTGAGACAGGAGGTTCACCTGAAGCCAGGAGTGCGAGACCAGCCTGGCCAACATGGCAAAACCCCATCTCTACTAAAAATACAAAAATTAGCTGGGCGTGGTGACGGGTACCTATAATCCCAGCTACTTGGGAGGCTGAGGCAGGAGAATCACTTGAACTGTGGAGGCAGAGGTTGCAGTGAGCTGAGATCGTGCCACTGCACTCCAGCCTGGGCGACAAGAGCAAGACTCCATCTCAAAAAAAAGAGCTACTGCCATAGAGTCCTGAACACTAAAATCTGACTTTTTAGCATAGTATGCTGTATATGCTATAGATTTTTCAGCATCCTTTCCATGCCCTAGGAGAGTACTGGGGAGACTGAACAGCAATCAGATTGTTTCTAAATATTTGGCATGCTTGGCTACTAGGTCATCCCTGAAAGTAGCCTTGATCTGAATCAATAATTCTCTTGTCCTTGGATATTTGTTCACTGAAGAAAATTCGAGCACAGCAAGATTTCAGTGTCTTAAGACTTTTAAGTCCAGTTGTGTACAAAGTATGCTAATCCAAGGGAACTTTTGACTTTTAACAAGAGTGTGCTTGATACTGAGGCAGTTCATGCCTGGGTAGGCAGACAATCTCAATTTGAGGTCACCTGACTGCGTAACACCCCAGTCTACTTTTTTTCTGTATAAAATATCAAGAGCTGAAAATATTAGCTGATTCTTTTTAATGTGGTTCTTCGATTTTTCTTTACAGACGTGTTGTGGATTCCTCAGACTGCCTTTGAAAAAACAATTTACAGTTCATATAATTTGTCTGGCAAGTTTTGGGCTTGCCATCTGATGGATACTAATTCTTCTGAACCTAAAATAGGGGCAGCAGATAACTTGCCATCCCTGCCTTCTTGGTCTTGTAGCTGCCACGTGCCGTGGGTACCCAGACATTGAGTGGTGCTGGTCTCCTCAAGATGTTCAACAAAGCCACAGATGCTGTCAGCAAAATGACCATCAAGATGAATGAATCAGATATTGTGAGTAGCCTTGTGCCTCTTACCTTCACCTACACCTCAGGCTTTTGGGTCAGAACCCCTAAGGAGTCCTGAGATTTCTGAGATTAGAAAGTTTTTTATAATTTAGTCCCTTTTTGAAAAACAACTGCTAAAGAAAGACTGCACTGCACCTATAGAAGTAATCTCATTAAAGCTCTGGGCTTTTGTGTTTCAGTGGTTTGAAGAGAAGCTCCAGGAGGTAGAGTGTGAGGAGCAGCGCTTACGGAAACTGCATGCTGTTGTAGAAACTCTAGTCAACCATAGGAAAGGTAACAAGCTCTGAAATGCACTTGGAGCTAGGGGAAATTGTTGTCTCTAGTGAACTGGAGATGGGAGGGCATGCTGTTCCAGTCCTCTCAGCCATCCAAGTTGAAATTCTCAGCCCACCAGGTGCTTGATGTTCTGATAAAAAAAGGTATGCCCTGCATCTCCTGTCAGAAAACATGATTCAGCCACTGTGGGCATTGTACTTTCTACCTGGGAGGGGTGCAGGGAAGCCGTCCCAGATATAGCATGACCTGGGATGCCGGCTTCTGTTGATTTTGAGTTGATGGCTTATATCCAAAATGATGTCATACATGCTTTAGCTACGTGGTCAAACCAGCAATGCATAAATGCAAGGAAACCACCTGTCTCCTAATCCTTCTGCGTCTTTCTTTAGTGAAATTTGCTTACAAGCTAGTGAAATTTTCCCAGTTTGAATCTTTTCCCTCTCTGCCTTAAACATGCTGATAATTAGAAATCTAAACAGATAGAAGATCCACAGCATAAGGCCAGTGTAAGTAAGGGTTGGCAAACTATAATCTGGCCCATGGGCCAAATCTGACCCTTGTTCCTATTGCCATGAGCTACAAATTTAGGTTTTTACTTTTTTAAAGGAATGAATGGGAGGAGAAAAGAATCTCTAGCAGACTATGTGTAGCCTGCAAACCCTAAAAAAATTATCGGCTGGGCATGGTGGCTCACACCTGTAATTCCAGCACTTTGGGAGGCCAAGGCGGGTATATCACGAGGTCAAGAGTTCAAGACCAGCCTGGTCAAGATGATGAAACCCTGTCTCTACTAAAAATACAAAAACTTAGCCAGGTGTGGTGGTAGGCATCTGTAATCCTATCTACTTGGGAGGCCGAGGCAGAGAATTGCTTGAACCCGGGAGGCGGAGGTTGCAGTGAGCTGAGATTGTGCCACTGCGCTCCTTTACACAAAGATTTTGCCCTACTCTAGAACATTCAAGACTATATGGTGTGCACATATATTCACTCTTCTCTCTTGTACAGAGAGGTTACCACTCATGAGCTTTAACAAAAATATAAGAATAGTTTATTTGGCCTGTTTGTTATTTAATAAGTGGGCTTTGGTTCTTCAGGGATATTGGAGCTGCTTCCTTCAGGTAGGCCTCACCCAGTGAAACTCTGGACAAGCTGGTGCCTCTCCCTCCTGCTTCTGTGACCAGGCCACATTCTCTTTACTCTCTGAATACAGTTAACCGTGGTGTAAGTGACTGGGTTGCGGAACCCTCATTTCCCAGATATGCAGTGGGCGGCATTGCTAAGACATGCCATGCGGTGTCAGCTGATTTGTCCCTTTTCCTTGTGAGATCAGAGAGGCCTCTGCTGTCTTTTCCTCCTTCCAGAGCTAGCGCTGAACACAGCCCAGTTTGCAAAGAGTCTAGCCATGCTTGGGAGCTCTGAGGACAACACGGCATTGTCACGGGCACTCTCCCAGCTGGCTGAGGTGGAAGAAAAAATTGAGCAGCTCCACCAGGAACAGGCCAACAACGACTTCTTCCTCCTTGCTGAGCTCCTGAGTGACTACATTCGCCTCCTGGCCATAGTCCGGGTAAGCTTCTGTTTCCTTTTCTCCTCCTTCCCTTGATTTGATTTGTTTTTCTTTTGCTGGTCCCCTTCCCAAGACAGTTTCATTCCATTATAGCTTGTAAATAGGTGTCACTTTTTCTACTTTTAAGAGGAAAGGTATCCTATGAACCAAGCAATCTGTTCACCTGTTAGCTAGTTATCACTGACTCATTTTGAGCCCCACAACCAAGATTCCTAGATGGCATTTGGAGAAAAGATCACTCTTGAATCTCCAAATAGGTTGCCCTTCATTGTTGAGGCTGGACGGTGTCCTCTGTGTTCCTTTCTCTTCTTTTTTTTTTTTTTTGAGACGGAGTCTCGCTGTGTGTCCCAGACTGGAGTGCAGTGGCGCGATCTCGGCTCACTGCAAGCTCCGCCTCCTGGGTTCACACCATTCTCCTGCCTCAGCCTCCCGAGTAGCTGGGACTACAGGTGCCCGCCACCACACCTGGCTAATTTTTTGTATTTTTAGTAGATATGGTGTTTCATGGTGTTAACCAGGATGGTCTCGATCTCCTGACCTCATGATCCGCCCACCTTCGCCTCCCAAAGTGCTGGGATTACAGGCGTGAGCCACCGCGCCCGGCCTGTGGTCCTTTCTTGCAGGAACGTTGCTTGCAGACCTGATCTCTTGGCCCCCTGGAGCAGTGACTTCCTCAGTCCTTTGATCTTTGCCTCCTTAACAGTAACTGGTGGCTTTGGTGGCTTCCACTTGTCCTTCTAGTATGGGCAGTCAGGTAACTACATGGAACTGGCTTGGCATTGCATGGAGGAGTGTGGCCAGGGGACTGAGAGAGCTCGTCACCAGAGCCTTCCTGTGCTGTGCCACCCCCACTGATAACATTCCAGCCTGCCCTTCATCAAGCACCTCACTCTCTCCTGGTGATCTAGCAGTGTGATTTCCCCATGAGCACTCCCAGGGGTTTAGGTTAAGGAATTGTGACAGTGGTATTAGCTCTCGCATGGCCTCCCTAAGACAGAGGAAAGAACCAAGAGGAAGCCTGGCGCCTACACTCTAAGGGCTTAAGTCTGTCCCTGATTCGGATTGGGATCAGGATGTGTTGAGCCTCAGAGTTAGAACAGTGCCACCCCTCGGTCCCCGTCCCCAACATATCTCCCATTAGGGAGCTTGCGCGTTGTGTCAGGAGCTGAGCTGCTCCCAGGCTGTCGCTTCCTCCGTGGTGGAGTTGCCTCATAGAGCCTGGGAGGTTACTCATTGTCCTCTCCCACTGCTATTTGGTTTGCTGCTAACTCCAGAGTGATAAGAGGTTTTAAAAATAACCTGCTATGTAATTCTTAGAACTGGTCAGGCTACTTAGACTGGAGAGCAAGCCGCAGGAAGGACACTCTCTGGGGGAAGCTTTCTATGAGGAGCGTTGTTTGGGATCTCTGGGGAGCACAGTTCTTGGATATGGTGCCCAGGCACAGTGAGCTTGTACCACAGGGATGAGGGCCTTGCCTAGAGCTCCATGGGCTGGGGCTGGGGAAGGATGCCTCACGGCACAGAACTGCGAATGGTCTTTTCTCAGAGACCCTCCATCTGCCTGCCTCATGCTTATGAGCCTGGTGGTGGGATTGGAGAGAAGAACAAAGGTTTTTTTTCTGCTCTTCTCTGAGCATGGAGCCGGACCACTGTTAGGCCAGTGGGTTGGGCTTGAGTCTGACTCGGATATGAGGTCACCCTTTACCTCATCTTTTGACACTGAGGTGTTAAGATGCTGCAGGGGAACAGCAGTGACAATAGTGGGGCAGGTGAATTTGGTGGCATTGCATTCCCTAAGGTTCAAGTTTTGGCATAAACCTATGC